CGCCTCCCATCCAACTCCCTGCCTGTGGCCCGGGAAAGCAGTCGAGGATGGCCCAAAGCTTTGGGACCCTGCACCCATGTGGGAGACCCAGAAGAGTCTCCTGGCTTCAGATTGGCATAGCATTGGCCGTTGCACTCACTTGGGGAGTGAATCATCAGACGGAAGATCTTCCTCTCTGTCTCTCCTCTCTGTATATCCACCTTTCCAATAAAAATAAAACAAATCTTAAAAAAAAAAAAAGAAAGAAATAGTACAGGGGCCCAATGTGATAGCCTAGTGACTAAATCCTTGCCTTGCATATGCCAGGATCGCATATAGGCACAGATGTTCCACTTCCCATCCAGCTCCTCTCTTGTGGCCAGCCTGGAAAAGCAGCTGAGGATTGCCCAAAGTCTTGGGACCCTGCACCCACATGGGAGATCCAGAAAAAGCTCCTGGCTCCTGGCTTCGGATCTACTCAGCTCTGGCTGTTGTGGCCACTTGGGAAGTAAATCAGTGGATGGAAGATCTTTCTCTCTGTCTCTTCTCTCTATAAATCTGCCTTTCCAATAAAAATAAAATAAATACATCTTAAACAACAACAAGAAAGAAAGCAGTCCAGGAGGAGATGGTGCTGGGGGTGGGACCTGTGGGTCAGTCCATGACATTGCTGATAACGATGTATTGATTTCTGAGTCCCTCCTGCATTTGTCTTGGCAGGGTCAAACAGAAGGATTTTTGTAGGGCTTAGATCGGTTGTGGGCTGGATGTGCCCATCCCATATAAAATAGCCATAATACTGTTCACTGTGCCCAGGGTGGGTGGTCTGTTAGGAGGCTCTGGAGATGTCTGAATCCAGATCCTCATGACCTGTGGCAATGCTAGTTCATGCAGCAAATGGGAATTTACATGAGATTCAGGTCAGATCAACAAGTGTGGGGTGGATCCTGATTGCGCAGCTGGCCCAAACAGGACCATGTGCGTCCTTGAAGACAGAGAAACTTCTTGGCTACAGAGATGGTGGAAAGGATACACCGGTTTGCTGTTGACCTTGAAGATGGGGCTTCCTAACCAGGAAATGAAGATGGTCTCAAGCAGCTAAAATGTACAGGATAGATTGCTCCTGGATCCTCCAGAAAGAAGTGTCCCTTGCAGTGGCCTCTTCAGCTGAGGCCAAGCAAGGTGGAGGAAGGAAGCCAGAGGACCTTTCTGGGTCAAACCAAAGCATCTGCCCACATGGAGGCCTGAACTGGGCTAGTTAGCACTGACCACCACTACCACCCACCAGTGCACACGAATCTGGAGGACCTACCTGGCAGGGCTAGCTCACAGTATTCGCCAGTGAGTGTTGAAAGGGCCATGACACTGATCAGCATGGGAGAGAACCAGTGCTGGGGGAAGATTCACCCTTCCCCTGTAGAACTACAATATCTGCCGGTCAGCTCAAGAGCTAGGGTGGGTGACAGGCTGAGCAAGGCATGGACATGGCCCCCTCCCCCCTCCAGGCTGCAACACCCGCAGGCGCACCCAAAAATTGGTGTGGGATGGGTTGGGCCACAACATCCACCAGCACACACAGAGGCTGAGACCTCTAGAGGGGGCAGACTACGTCGGGTAAGGACTTCACACCCACAGGCACACGTGGGGTCTGGGATTGGGCCTGGTGGAGCTTAGGGATCTTCCCTGGTGGCCTATAGCTTTTGCTGGTGAGCACATGGGTCAGTGCTGGGTGTTGGTCAGGCTGGGCAAAGCTGCTCCACTTGTCAGCAAGTGTACGGACTGGCTGGGAGGGTAGGGGGGTGGACCAGGCAGGGTCAAGCCAAATCTTAGCATCCTGGCATGTGCAGGAACCAGGCTGCAATGCAGGTCACGCCAAGCTAGGCTATTATACCTTCCAGTTTGCATGAGCCAGGGATGGGAGCAGACTGGGCAAGGCTAGCCTGCAGCACCTGCCAGCAAGTTGGGACTGGGGGTGGGCCAGGCCAGGCCAGGCTGCAGCATCTGATGGCAAAGGTGGGGAATGGGTTATGCTGAGCTGGGTCAAAGCAATCACTGGCTCGTGCAAGATCTGTGGCTGGGAATTGGCCTGGTTGGGGAGCTAAGGGGATGTCCCAGCTGGTTGTGGTTTCTACTGGTGAACACAAGAGCCAGAATAGGGGTGGTGATCTGGGCTGGACATGGCTGCAGCATCCTTTGGCGTGGGTGTGGACTTGACTTGGGGTTGCCAGACTGGGCTAGGTCTTGGCACCCACTGGAGCTCATGAGAGACAGGGAAGGTGTAGGATGGGCTGGGCTAGATCTTGGCACCTGCTGAACCACATGAGAGCTGGGTTTGGGAGTGGACCAGGCATGGCTGGGCTGTAGCACACAACATTAAAAGCTGGAATGGGTGTGTGCCAATCAGGCAAGGCTGCAGTACCTGCCAGGACAGGAGGTGGGCTAAGTTAAGCTGGGCCAACACACACCGGTATGCATGAGATCTGTCACTGGGAGGAGACCTGATAGAGGAGTTTAGGTAGCTAAAGGTCGGGGCCTGGTGTGGTGGCCTAGTAGCTTAAGTCCTCGCCTTGAATGTGCCGGGATCCCATATGGGCGCCGGTTCTAATCCTGGCAGTTCCAGGCTTGTGGCCTGGGAAAGCAGTGGAGGACGGCCCAAAGCCTTGGGACCCTGCACCTGCATGGGAGACCCAGAAGAGACTCCAGACTCCTGGCTTCAAATCAGTGCTGCTCTGGCCACTGTGGCTGCTTAGAAAGTGAATCAATGGATGGAAGACCTTCATCTCTGACTCTCCTCTCTGTATATCTGACTTTGCAATAAAAATAAAGTAAATCTTTTAAAAAAATTAAAATGCAAAAAAAAAAAAAAAGGAAAAAAAAAAGGAAATGAATGATATACAAAGAGGAGATAGAGAATAAGCTTCAGTCTACTGGTTCATTCCCCAAATGGCCGCAGTGACCAGAACTGAGGTGATTCAAAGGCAGGAGCTAGGATCCAGGAGCCTCAGGGTCTCCACATGGGTGGGCCAGCCTGCACTGCTTTCCCAGGAAGCTGGATTGGAAGTGGAGTTGTTGGGTCTCGAACTGATGCCCATATGAGATGCTGGTGCTGCACCTACCACACAACAGCGCCGGCCTTGAATCTCTCAAAAAGAGAAAGTTTCAAACACTTGCTTTCAGAGAAGGAGGGCTCCCCTTTGCTCATTCTCCTCCCAGATGCTTGTAATGGTCTGGCAAGGAGGCAGAGCCGAGAGCCCAGAACTGATTCCAGATCTCCCACATGGGTGGCAGGATGCCAAGTACCTTCAGCCCTCATCCCTGTGCATCAGCTCATACAGGTCTCGGTGGTCCCGGCCGGGGCCTGCGGCACGGTGAGAGATCACCTCGGTGGTCCTGCAGCACGGTGAGAGGTCACCTCGGTGGTCCCGGCCGGGGCCTGCGGCACGGTGAGAGGTCACCTCGGTGGTCCTGCAGCACAGTGAGAGGTCACCTCGGTGGTCCTGGCCGGGCCTGCAGCACAGTGAAGGGTTGAGGAAAGGAGCTGCCCTGGCCAGTTTCTGAGTAGAGATTAAGAAAGCGACCACGCGGACAGCTGCAAGTGGCCCCTGGAAGCTTCCTAGCTCTGTGAGGTCCGTTCTGAACACCCCACTTCTCACAATGCCTAGATGATAAATGGGAATCGTCTTAAGCCACAGTTTGCAGTAATATGTGACCACGGCAATGGCGAGCCAGAATCCCAATGAACATTCTGTGACAATCCCTCCTGAGCCCGTGTGGAGTGTGAGGCTGCTCCCTTCCCTCGCCCACACCCACCTGCTCCAAAGTACAGGCGTTAATACCACAAACTTAGGACTTGGGTTACCAGAAATGAGTAGAAATGCAGGGAACAGATTCAAGAGAAACACGAAATAGCAATGAGTAAACCTTTCCCAGAGTGGGTTATTTTCTGTGTTCCGAGGGGAGACCAAAGAGGAAGAAAGCAGGACCACAAGGCACTAACAAACCCAACGCCAGCTACAACGCCACTGGGCTGGGCGCTCTCGCGGGGCGGGGGGCGGGTGGCACCGCAGAAATCCCCGACCTCTGAGTGGAAAGCCCAAGAAGCCTAAGATGGCCAGGGCCAGTAATGTCCGTGGCCAAAGTTCAACAAATCCGGCCTTGAAGCCTGGTGTGGAGGACCACCGTTCCAAACCTCTTCCTTGTGGCTCGTGCCAGAGCCAGTACAGCACCCTCCACTGCCATCCCAGATCCGTGGGCCGCGGCGCAGACCCTCGCACGGCTCCTGCTGTGAACTAAGCAAGAAAGTGGCTAAGAAAGCGCCTGCACTACTGCAGCACTACTTCTTTAATCCCTCTCTCCCAGAATACAGCACCTTTACTTTTCAGTATTCGTGATGTTTCTGTTTGTTGTTTTTCTTTCCTGTTACTAGCTGGGAATTGAAGGCTGGCGCGGGCCAGCAGCTCTGGAGAGGCGCCCTCCGGAGGTGGCGCAATGGGCTCACTCCTGGAGCCAGCGGCGCGGGCACTCCCAGAGCTGGGGGTGGGATGCGGGCACGGGCACACTCGCGGCTCTTCGTGCAGCCCTAGCCCGCAGGGGAACCCGTGCTGGCCCTCCTGGCCCCTTGCCACCCACGGCGGCGAGCGCGCCCCAGCGCCCAGCTCCCGGCTGGTTGCCGGAGGTGGCTGGAGGGGCCCAGCAGCGGGAGGCCCGGTCAGGCTCCCTTCCTTCTTCCCAGACCACATCACTCCTGCACCTCCATCCTAAAATTGGGGATGGCATGTTCATTGATTGATGTTCAATTACAAAACTTCACAGCAGGTTTTGGTGCTAAAATGACGCCAACTGCCATATGGGAGCTGGGAGTCTTCGGACCCAGTTTAGATTGGGGCTGAGGTAGACAGGTGCATGGTGGCGGTCGGGAGGTCCCGCGGGTGCTGTGGTGGCGCGGTAACGCCAATCCTCTCCTGTCTAATGCATCTCTCTTTCTAGCTGCCAGAAGGGAAAATCCAAGCAGTCCAGCTTAGTCCCAGATCAACAAACGTTTATTGCCACCTCTGGCTTCTGCCTGCTTCCCACGCGGCCGAAACACTGAGCTCCCAGGTAGGGCAGGGCGGTAGGGATAAGAGTGAGGGTGGTGTTATTGCCAAGCCTGCTCCAGTAGCGCGCTGCCAAGTCAAGTGGCCCCCCACACCACTCCCGGAGTGGTGCGGGGGAAGACAGGGAGGAAGACGGGCGTGGAGGGCTGTCCTGCTTTGCTGCAAACTTGCTCTGCTCTGGACGGGTGGTGGTGGTAGACGTAGGGGGGTGGATTTGCTGCTGATGTACCCCTTGCCCTGCTGCCACGTTTCCATGGAAATGAGGGAGGGGCAGGATGTAGCTCACTGGGAATCTGGGAGGATGGCAGGGCAGGCATTTGGTAAACATATCCCCTGGCCACTGTGCCCAGCGCAGTGAGCTGTCCCCAGCCGACCCCCAGGCTGGCTCTCCCTGCCTGCTCTGCCACTTTCCCCTGGTGGAGCTGGGACCAGGCCCACTGGGCTCCAGGCAGGGCTGCTGGTGTGTCCTCTCCGCTGCCAGGTCTCACCGGGCAGTGCTCGGATTCAGTCCACCAAGCTGAGGGCCTTGGGCCGCCGTCTCTGGCGGCTCTCTGCGCAACTGCCCTTCCCCAAAACACAGCTTAGAAAACAGAAACCCAAATGCTGGGGCGGTTAGAAGCGACACACAATGACTTCAGAGCAATGCAGAGGGCTGGGTGGGGAAGCTGGGGGCCTGAGCCAGGGACCACCTGGGAACCACTGCCTTCCGCCTAGCCGTAGTTTTACTTCTTCTCACTGGACTGACGTGGCCGGGGTGCCGGAAACCAATCTCCGCTCGGGCTGCTCTCAGCACGCCAGCCACCACTGTTGCTGCTGCTGTGGGTGGATGAGGCTGCCTGCGGTTGCCATGGTGAGGAAGTGCAGGCTGGAGGCTCAGTACCACGGGTCGGCCCGGTGCTGCTGGTTGTAGAGCTGCAGCTTGATCTGATCTTTGATTTGACTCACCAGGATCTGAGACAGCAGGATTCCCACCAGCTGGGAGGGAGGCGAGAAGGCCCTGAGGGAGCAGGCCGGGGCCTTGCCCTGACTCCGCCTTCCCCGTGCAGTGGTCTGGGATGACCCCTTTCCCTGCCCCTCAGCCGCGGCAGTGTCTGCCACCCGGCTGATCCGCGGTACCTGAGGGATGGCCAGGCCCAGAGCCACACCGCCCAGCAGGAACAGGTTGCTGTGTATCCAGTTGACCAGCTTGTCGATGCAGCCATTGGTGTAGATGACTTTGCTGGCCTCCAGGTAGCTGCGGGCCTGCATGCTCTGGCCACACATGGTGTTGATCACGGCCTGCGGGGGCGGGGGGAGGCGAAAGGGCAGGTGTGCTGCCGGCTCTCCTCTTTCTCTAACAGGTGTCACCTGCTCCCTCTTCCTACACTCCTAAGATGCTAGGAAATCCACGAGGGGACTTCAAGCACAATTTGAAAAGTTTATTTTGAGGCGGAAAGTTAGAAATCCATGCACAATATTTTTCATAATACGTATTTTCCGGGAATCTTTTAAATATCCTCCAGGCATGGATTTCACATATTTTCAACAGCAAAATGATCTTTTAATTTCATGTTCTATGAATTTTTAAAAAATATTTATTTATTTGATGGTTAGGGAGAGAGATCAATCTTGCATCTGATGGTTCACTGCCCACACGGCTTGGAACAGCCAACGTCAAACCAAGCGGAAGCCAGGAGCTGCAGCCTCCTTGCCCTCAGGTGGTAGGCCCATCACGCAGGTCATCCTCCACTGTTTGTCCCAGGCTGTCAGTGGAGGGCAGCTGGGACACAGACCAACACCCATAGGGCATGCTGGCATCACAGATGGCAGCTTCCCATGCTATGCCACAGCGCCAGACCCTCCAAAGACTTTTGAAGAACTGGTAAAAAAGGCTACAGAGTGGGGGAAGAGGCTGGAGTGAAGACAAATGCCTGACAGCTGTCCTTCCCGCTGACAGGTCACCCTCGGGAAGGAGGGCTCAAGCAGCAGGTGTAACTTCTGGCCCTGCAGTTCGGAGGCTGCTTACCTGGTTGGGGACAGGCAGGCAGCAGGAGTAAGGCACGGAGCACCGCTCACGGCTCGGGTTGTCTTCGGAACAGCTGAAGTACATGTTCTGCGACCAGTCCTTGTAGGAAATCCCTCCACAGCAGCTGAACTGCAACAGAGCCCAGCAGGGGGATTCAGGCTCTGCCCACGGAGACCACCGAGCCCACCGAGCCCAGGAGGACCAAAAGATCTGACAAGCTCCCCAGGTGGCTGCAGGGTGAGTTGAAACATGGCTTTGGACCTAGGTTACAGACTGCCTTCCTTTATTTGAGAGGTAGTGTGAACAGAGAGAGGGATGGGGTTGTGGGGGGCAAGACAGAGTCCCAGGCCAGGACTCCTCCCATCTGGGTCCCCTGTGTGGGTGCAGGGACTCAGGAACCGAGCCATCCTTCATTGCCTTAGAGGGCGCTGTGCTGGAGACAGGTCACAGGTGGTGGCTGAACCCACTAAGCCACAATGCTGGCCTCTCTCTTTAATTTCTAATACTTTACACATCCTTTTATAACTCACCAGAGGGCTTAATATTACAAGTGTGTATCTATATGCATTTTTCAGTTTTTAAGGTTTATCTATTTGAAAGGCACAATTTTGGAGGAAGAGGAGCCTGAGCAAGGATTTGCACTAGTGCCCCCTTGGGATACAAGCATTGCAGCAACAAGTGAAGCATCATGCCATAATGCTGGCCCCAAACACTGTCCTCTGGTGCTGTAGCAGAACAGAACTGGACAACTACCGCAAACAGATGACATCAAAAAAGTCTGTGAATGGAGCCAAGGGATGCTGCGAGGGTGACGTCACACTCGGATCTGTGAAATCAGCAGCATTTCAGAACCATCCGAGCCACCTGGACAGAACCCTCGGAGCACGTCCACGTGGAGGCTCTGGTTGATAGGAGGTGGGTTCCTCATCCCTGGGTGCTGGGAAGTCGTGAGTGGTTCCCCCTTTGTCTCTCTCCTTCCCCAAAAACAAGCAAATTTGGAAGCACTGAGTATGAGTACACCTAAACCTCAATCCCTCCCAACCTGATCCGCCATGGAATTATAAAAAATCTACAAAAAACAAAAAAATAAAAGTAATAGAGCTCTATTGAATTTCAAAAATATTTCTTTTTATTGGAAAGTCAGACTTTACACAGAGAAGGAGAGACAGAGAGCAAGATCTTCCATCTGCTGATTCACTCCTCAAATGGCTGTGATGACCGGGCTGAGCTGATCTGAACCCAAGCCAGGAGCTTCTTCCACGTCTCTCACCAGGATGCAGGGTCCCAAGGCTTTGGGCCATCCTTGACTGCTTTCCCCGGCCACAGCTGGATGGGAAGTAGAGCAGCCGGGATATAAACCAGTGCCAATGGGATCCTGCGTATGCAAGGTGAGGATTTAGCCACTAGGGTATTGCACCGGATCCAGAGAAATTCTTTAAAATTTTTAATAATTTATTTAATTAGAAAAGCAGACAGAGAGAGAGAGAGAGAGCGAATGAAAGTCTCATCTACTAGTTCCCCAAATGGCCACAACCACCAGCCAGGCACAACCCCAAGCTGGGAGTTCAACATGGGTCTGTGGGCAGCAGGGACCCATGTACCTGAGCTGTGGCCTGCAGCCCCCAAGGGCATGCATCGGCAGGGTGCTGGAATGTAAGCAGAGCTGGGACTGGAACAAACCCACACATCGCTGCCAGGGTGGTGGCTTAGCCACAGCTCCACATGGCGCCCCAGAAGGAAATTCTGCCACGTGTCACAACATGAAGATGTGCTGAGTGAAATTCATCAGGACACAAGGACAAAAACGCACGGGAGGTACTTAGCATAGTCAAGTTCATAGAGATGGAGAGCAGGTGGCACTGCCAGGGTGAGGGGAACGGCGTGCTCGGGGCTGCAGCTGGAGAAGGTGATGAGTGTGATGGGGGCACAGCAGTGTGGTGGATTTGGGACGATGCTGTGGCACAGTGGGTCATCCCACCCCTTGGGACAACCGCACCCCATAGCAGGAGGCTGCCTTAAGTCCTGGCTGCTCTGCATTGCTAACCCTTGCAGGAAGCGACAGATGGTGGCCTGAGGGCCTGGGCTCCGGCCACCCAAGTGGGAGACCCGGAAGGAGCTCCCGGTTCCTGGCTCCAGCCTGGTCTACATCTGGTTGCTGCAGAAATCTGGGGAGTGAATGAGATGTTGGAAGAGTTCTGTCTTTTTCTGTCACTCTGTGTTTCAAATAAAAAAGTCAAATCCAAGTAAAACCAAGTAATGTACTGAATGCCACAGATCTGTACACTTCAAAAAGGCAACTTGGTTATACACATTTTACCATAATTCTAAAATATGTAACCCTGAAATAGATCATCAAAAATCTGCTCCTGCAGGTAACCACTTACACGGTTTCTTACAAATCCTTTCAAAAATTCTTTCTGTAAATACACATATATCTTTCCCTCTTTTTTTTTTTTACACAAATGGTAGATTACTATATATATATATCCTTCCGTGTCCTCAGAAGCACTTTGAAGGCATTCTGCTGCTAGACACGTGTTTTCACCAATCCCTTTCCCAGACTCTATGACCTGGCCGCTCACCAAGCGGCATCAAGTCTCCTGGAAGGAGACTCACTTTTACCTGCTGCACCCGGGGCCCTGGTGAGCAATCCCTGCCTGTGCCCACCCTGTGCACTCAGCCCCTACCTGCTGCACTCCGGGCCCTGGTGAACAACCCCCACCCGTGCCCACCCTGTACACTCAGCCCCTACCTGCTGCACTCCGGGACCCTGGGAGCAACCCCCACCTGTGCCCACCCCGCTCACTCAGCCCCTACCTGCTGCACCCCAGCCCTGGTGAACAACCCCCACCCGTGCCCACCCTGTACACTCAGCCCCTACCTCCTTCTGGCCAAAGTCAATGAGGTTCTGCAGATCCAGGTCGTCTCGGTAGTGCACGATGGCATTGTTGATGACCTCACTCACTTTGCTCCGAGCCTGCCAGCGACAGGGGCCATCAGGACCCAGGCAGGGCTCTCCCCCGACCTGCCCCCTCCCTACAGAAGTAACAGAGACCAGCGAAAGCTCAGCTCAAGCCTAACCTGGGGAGATGGCCCATTCCAAAGCCCATCTATTGTCCCTGGCCCTTCGGGTACAGGGCACAAGGGGTGCTGCACCTGCTGGGGGCTGTTCCTCAGGGTCCCCTGGACAGGAGTCCAGTGAGCAGGAAACAACACCAGTACTGGTGGCCTGATGCAAAGCAGAGAAGTTCAACTGTTCCTCTACTTAGCAGAAAGGGGCTTACTGAGCCAAGACACTGACCTCTAGTGGACATGAGGGAACCGCGTGTCTTAGGAAATGACTGAACAAGAAGGGCTAGGAGAGCCCATCCCACATTGTGAAAATCTGTAATTCTCTACCATGGTTCCTCCCTTCCTTCCTTCCACCACTTCTAGATTTCCTTGCAGAGTATCATCCTCTGCCCCAGCTATCCACCTGTCCTCTGGTTCTTAACGAAAAGGACTAGCCCAAACCAGCAAGCACTGTTCAAAGACTCTATCCTTTCCCCTTTCATTCCCTCTGTTTACATGATTTTTTTCTCTTTTTTAACAAGAGGCTCTTCATATTTTCTGTTACTCAGTCATTTGCCACCAATTTTTTCAGGGGTGGGGTGTGTGTGGCATTTTAACTACGTGTTCACAGAACTTTCCTTAAAGGAAAACATTTCGCAGTCTTGAAATTCTCCTTAGATGCGGTGCCTTCCCAGGCCACTCGCTCGCTCACCCCTTTCCCAGGCTGAAGCCCCTCAGAGACACGGGGCTGTGGTTAATGAATGGGATTGCACGCCCGGCTCCAGGGTTACCTGGTCGGAGAAGACGAAGCCCAGGATCCCCGCGGCCAGTTGTAGCAGGAACACAACGGTGAGGCAGAGGGAGAACTGGGGGGACAGAAGGCAGGGGGAGGAGAGTTGCCACTCTGGGCAGCGACCCCTCCCAAGCAACAGCAGGTAGAGGCCACTTGATGTTTTCCCTTTGCCCCCGCCACATGGGGAAGAGCCGCCTCTGGGACCCTTGGCCCTGGGTGGCACTCTGTGGGGGATCCTCTGGGCCTGGGCTCTGACAGCAGGGGCTTTGGGCTTGGGTGGGTCAGGAGACACGGAGGCGGGACGTGGGGGACCCTGAGCACTCACCGTCTGCAGGAGGCAGATGTTCTCTCGCAGGGAGCCGATGCAGCCACAGAAGGTGAGCAGGAACACAAGCACGCCCACCACGATCAGCAGGATGGCTGGGTCGACCGCCAGGCAGGCCAGGGCTGCTTCTGGGACGAGGGTGCCAGCCCTTAGCCTGAGCCGGGACCCATGGAGGGAGCACCAAAAGATGGGGGGGGGGGGGAGTACTGCCCATGCTGGCCCTTCCCCGGGTGGGAGCACCTCCCCCCGGAACACACACACACACACACACACACACACACACACACACACGGGGCTGCTGGGGTTCCAGCGAAGAACAAGAAAGTGGTTTCATAGCCTAGCTTAGCTTTGCAGAGAGAGGGCAAAAGGGGCTGTGTGACTCTAGCACTGAGCCAGGCGGAGGCCGCTTTGAAGGTCCAACATGCAGGCATGCTCTAAGATCAGGCCGCAGGGGGAGGGCGTGCCGGAGCACTGGGGCTGCAGGGCGCCCAGGAGGAGGATGCGGTTGCTGAGAGAACTCACAGGTGGGGGGAGAATGGCAGAGCTCACCTGCGTGCTTCATCAGCCGTGCGTACACGCCCACAGCCACCATCACCATGGAGATCACCTGCAGAGATAGAGTGGGGCCAGCCCTGTGAGGTTCCGGAAAGCCCTTTGCTGGACAACAAGAGGGGTGACTTTTCCCGGCCCGGCAGTGGGCATTTTCCTCCTGACCAGGCAAACTGCTGATGGGATCTGCCAGGCTCTGCCAGGCTCTGCCAGGCTCTGTTTCCATGGAATGCTCTCTTTTTTTTAACCAGTGTTATCTCACTCAGTCCTCACCTTGTGAGGAAGCTAGTATTGCCATTTTCACCATTTTCACCATTTGCAGATAAGGAAGTAAAGGCCGGGCAAGGTTAACATACAACAGTGACGAGGCACATCGGCTTCAGGAAGACTCAGGCTCAGAGATGGGAGTCACAAACAAGCGGATGAAGGGATCGTGTTTGTGGCACAGAGAGTTAAGCTGCCATTTGTAATGCCAGCATCCTGTATCAGAATGCCAGTTCCCAGTCCTGGCTGCTCCACTTCTGATTCATCTCCCTGCTAACCTGCCTGTGAGCGTAGTGGAAGATGTCCTGAGTACACGTGAGACCCGGATGGAGTTCCTGGCTTCAATGGACTCTTTTACTCTGCCATTTGAAGAAATACATAAATCTATTAAATTCACACACCAACCATATCTAATAACATTGCCATGAGAATTGAGCAAGATCATGCATGGAAAGCATTTAATTATATTTACCTAGTGGTAAATCTATTATTACTAGTAATTGCCTTACCTGGAACCAGACAAAACCAGTGAAGTTGGGAACTATTTATTTGAAAGACACACACACGCAGAGGGAGAGACAGAATGAGAGCAAGAAAAAACACTGTCCACCTGCTGGTTCCCCACAAGCCGGGGCAGCTGGGCTGTGGCGACAGGGACCTTGGCCTTCACCGTACATTAACAGGGAGCTGGACTAGAAGTCAAACAGCTGAGACTTTATTTATTTTTATTGGAAAGGCAGATACACAGAGAGGAGGAGAGACAGAGAGGAAGGTCTTCTGTCCAATGGTTTACTCCCCAAGTGGCCACAACGGCTGGAGCTGAGCCAGTCCAAAGCCAGGAGCCAGGAGCCTCCTCCAGGTCTTCTACACGGGTGCAGGAGGGCCTGGCTGCTCTACTTGAGACCCAGATCGCTGCTGTCGTGCCTGGAGAAGCGTGGATGACGGCTTAAGTGCCTGGGTTCCTGCCACCCACAGGGGAGTCCTGGAAGCCCCTGGTTCCTAGCGTGGCCCAGCCTGGCCGTTACGGCCACTGGGGAGTGAACCAGCAGATGGAAGACCTCCCTCTCAGTGTTCCTTCTTTTCTGTCTCTGCAACTCTGCCTTTCAAAGAAATAATTCTATGTCATTAAAAAAAAAAACAACTTATTTTTATGTTTATTGGTGAGGCAGATTTACAGAGAGAAGAAGAGACAGAAAGAAAATCTGCCATCTGCTGGTTCACTTGCCCAAGTGGCTAAGCTGATCCAAAGCCAGGAGCCAGGAACTTCTTCCAGGTCTCCCATGCAGGTGCAAGGTCCCAAGGCTTTGGACTGTCCTCCACTGCTTTCCCAGGCCACAGGCAGGGAGCTGGATGGGAAGTGGAACTGCTGGGATTAGAACTGGCGCCCATATGGGATCCCGGGCGTTCAAGGCGAGGACTTTAGCCGCTAGGCCACGCCGCCGGACCCGGGATCCTGGCACTTGTAAGGCAAGGATTCAGTCACTGGGCCATCACGCCAGCCCCCTCCAATCCTTTTTAAAGGGGTTTGTGCCTGTATGCATGCACCAGCCCTGGAGGCCTTCATGTAGGAACCCCAGTGTGGAGGAGTGGAGAATCTTTTCATGGTCACAGCTTCTCTCTGACAGAGTGAGCCCACCAGGGCTGGTCCCCACAGAGGCCTTCTCTGGACTGCCCCAGCCCTCCAGGAGGGCAGGGCAGCACGGCAGGCAGCCCCACTCCATTGGCTGGCATCCAGCTGGTGCTAAGCAGCCCTGAGCAGCCACTAGCTGTCGCCATGGCAATAGATGGGGTCAAGCTTTGCAAGGGGAGAGTTCTGAGCAGCTCTGTGGGAGGGAGCTGGCTGGCTACATTCCGCTGTCCTGGGAGATGGAAACCAGGGAGAAAGAGCTGGCCCAGAAAGGGGAGCCCGGCCTGCAGGACAACAGAGTGGCCAAGTCACTTGGTGGGAGACCTTCCTGCTTGGGGGCCTCTGCCCTGGTGCGGGAGGCAACAGTGCATTTAGCAGGGGATGGCACGCCCTTAGAAAACCAAACCTTGCCCAGCCTTTCTTGGCCTTCTCTCCCTGCCCACCTGTCTCTGGACCCTGCCTCGGACTCAGGGCCTGGGGTTACCTGCTGGCTTCACCTGCTGGCTTCACGCTCTGCCCAGGGAGTACGGGGCTGGAGGTGCCAGCTGGCTTCCTGTCCCACGGTGCATGCCGGTTCAGGGAGCACGGGCAGTGGCAGGGGCGCACCACCCAGCGCTGCAGCCATCTCCAGGCTTGGCCCCCAGGGTGATGCTACAGGAAGTGTGGTGGCTCATGAGGCGTGACCTCGCAGAAGGCCCTTGGCCCACTGGAGCGCATCCTCAGGAGAGCATTCTCCTGGGGCTGCTTAGTAATTCTCAAGAAAGGCTGTCGACAAACCCCAAGTATAACACCTGGTCTCTTGGTCTCTTCACTTACGGTTCAAGATGTGACAATTCATCCCAGGCATGCACCCCTGCCAGTGCCACCCGCTGCCCACCCTGGGACCTTCGCCAGAATCCAGCTGCTGCAGGCACAGTGAGATTTCTGTGGAAGGTCAGTGTTGTTGTGGTGATTCGGGTTAAGCTGCCACTTGTAAGGTCGGCATCCCATATGGGAGCGTTTGTTCCAAGTCCCAGTTGGCTGGCATCCCAGGTGAGTACCAGCTGGCATCGTGGCTATCCCACTTCTGCTCCATTTGGAGAATGAACCAGCAGATGAAAGATCTCCTTCTGTTTCTCCCTCTCTCAGCCATACAAACAAACTCTTTAAAAAAGGTTTTTGAAAAAACAAAAATTTTAAAAGCCTACTTATGCAAGAAATTCCAAATCTTAAGAGGGAGACAACAGGATCAGAACCTGGGCAGGAACTACAATGGAGTGGGTTAATCTACCGCCGCAGTGCCGGCATCCCATACGGACGCTGGTTTGATTCTCATCTGCTCCAATTCTCATCCAGCTGCCTGCTCATGGCCTGGGAAGGCAGCGGAAGATGCTCCAAGTGTTTGAGGCGCTACACCCATGTTGCAGAACTGGAAGAAGCTCCTGGCTCCTAGCTTTAGATCGGCTCAGTGCTGTCCTGTGGTCACTTGGGGAATGAATCAATGGATGGAAGATCATCCTCTCTGTATCTCCTCCTCTCTGTATATCTGACTTTGCAGTAAAAATAAATAACTTTTTTTTTAAGAAAAGAATACACTAACGTCTAATACACTAACGTCTGACTCCAGTTCCCTGCCGAAGCCATCCACGCGGGAAGCCTGGCTTGACTTTCCTGCTCCCAGCGATGGCAGGTGGACACTGAGCAGACAGGAGTGTGCGCGCTTACTCTCTAACACACAGTACAACTCCAAAATTCCTAATGCTTTGGCAGCAGAGCCAACCAGCAGATCAGGATCTCAGGTGCTGAAACCCAGGCAGCAACAGCCCCGGGTGCGTTCCAGGTGAGGCCAGTGCTGAGCCACGTTAGCGACACGGCCAGCCTCAAGCCTCATCAGCCAGGGACCCAGGGTGGCAGATGCAGACTCCAGGAAAATGAAGATTTTAATATTTCATGCGCTCATTAGCGATGCTCTCCCTGAGCTCTCAAATGCCGCACTTCACAGCTTGCCCTTCCGTACTCCATTCCTGCCCTTCCCTCCCACCCCAGATTCCTCAAAGTCACAGCCATCCCAAAGTTGGTACTGTGGCTGATAACAGCATCCCGTTGTAGAGCTGAACAGGACTCTGGAATTGGCCCCGGCCTCACCTCTGTTTATAGTCAAGGCCAGAAGAGCCCAAGTGCCAACTGACCAAGTGCACGTGGGTCAGTGACGAGACTGGACTCAACCGAATGTTTTTCCATCTCATTCTGGCACTCAATCGCTCTGTCAGAATCAGTCCTCATCACGACATCCTTGGGACAGCCACCGCAACCCACGCCTCCCTTCAGAAGAGGATGGAAACAAGCACCATGCCCTTTCTTCTTCTTTTTTAAGATTTACTTATTTTCATTGGAAAGGCAGATTTGTACAGAGAAGGACAGACAGAAGGAAAGATCTTCCACTTGCTTGTTCACTCTCCAGACGGCTACAGTGGCTACACCCGAGCTGGTCAGAAGCCAGGAGCCAGGAGCTTCCTCCAGGTCTCCTCCCGCTGCCTTCCCAGCCACAGCGGGAGCTGGACGGGAAGTGGAGCAGCCGGGACTCAGATCAGCACTCCTACATGGCACACACGGACATCCTAACAGCAATTGACCCCTGCCCCAACCCTTTCTTAAAACAATTAAAAAGATTTATTTATTTATTTAAAAGGCACAAGTTTCGTTTTGCTTTTTTTTTTTAAAGATCCATTATTTATTTTTATGGGAAAGGCAGATTTACAGAGAGAGGGAAAAACAGAGATCTTCCATCTGCTGGCTCACTCCTCAAGTGGCCACAATGGCCAGAGTTGGGCTGGTCCAAAGCCAGGAGCTTTTTTTTTTTTTTTAAGGTTTATTTTATTTTTTATTGGAAAGTCAAATATACAGATATACAGAGAAGACAGATCTTCCGTCCACTGATTCACTCCCCAAGCAGCCACAATGGCCAGAGTTAAGCCAATCTGAAGCCAGGCGCCAGGAGCTTCTTCTTGGTCTCCCATGTGGGTACAGGGTTCCAAGGTTCTGGGCCGTCCTTGACTGTTTTCCAGGCCACAAGCAGGGAGTTGGATGCGAAGCAGGGCTGCTGGGATTAGAACGCAAGGTGAGGACTTTAGCCACTAGGCTACCACATCGGCCCCCGAGCCAGGAGCTTCTTTGGGTCTCCCACATGG